GCCAGAACACAGAAACCAAACAGCACAGCAGCTCCCCTGCACGTCAGCAGGGAGTTTCCATGCCACGTCTGCACAGCAGCAGCTCTGCACAGCTCAGGGAAGGGCCAAGGTCAGAGCCACACTGCAGCGGGGTGGTGCTCCTCCAGAGAAATAGTGTGTGTAAGGAGAGGAAACCTAACCAGAGGGGCAGGGGAGTCATCTCAGAGCTGCCAGGGACAGGGCTGAAGGCCCTGGAGGCAGTGCTGGCAGCACGGGTTGCCCATTACCAATCCAGTCACCAATCTGTGTGCAGGTACCATAAGGGAAGATGAAAGTGAGGATAAGGAGATACCCAAATACCACGTTTTCTCCTCTCCCGCAGTCTTGTTTACCCTTTCTAACTGAAACAACCCCAAGTCCTCCCGTGTTCCAAGCAGCTTCCCGGGGTCCCACACCACCTCTGCCCACAGCTGCTGCAGGAACTGCTCGGCAGTTCCACTCCACAGCAGCTTTCATCCCAGTCACCTTTTAAGCTCCTTATCTGATCCGCCTCTTCCACGAGCACCTCTTAAGTCCTCAGTCCTTCCTCTAGTAGCTCCTGTGATACAGAGGCTTTTAACCTTTCCGAAGCAGCTCAGCCCTGCCAGGTTTAAGGGCTGGAAACTGATCACAAACAAGTGATGTTTTTCTAGTAGCATCTTCTCCTGCCCCTTCTCCCTTCCCATCACTTCAGGCACTAGAAGGAAACTATTTTATGACCTCTCCACGATGCCAGAAGCCAGAGCTGCTCACCCAGCACTGCTGCCTTGGCATCCCTATTCAGCACCACATTTATCCCCAGCTGAGCTGGTCCCTCCAAATTAGAAAACCTCGTGCCTTGAACTAATGGGGATTTAGTCTAAGCAGAAAAAAAAAGCTAGTTCAGGTTTTGTTTACTGCACTTGACAATTCCCTTTTCCTGGGTTTTTGTCCACACATAAGCAATAAGCTCTAAAGGCTCAGTGAAAGGAACAGACGTACAGGTCAAGCACTGTCTTGCACACCATCTTCTGCTGCTATAATTTATTGGCTGCTGATTTGGACTAGTTTATATAACATGCAGGATGAGGTAAAACAGTCACTTGTTACAAAAATATGGATATCCACAGCTCAGCAATTCCGGGAGTGAATGGCAAAGCTCAAGTCTCAGTGCAGGTAGCGAAGGAAGCACCTACCATTTATTTTTGTCTCTGGTAAAAGGAATTGCTTTGTCTATGACTAAAAACCATAGATGACAACACATGAAATACTTAATGAATGCTATCTGATAATTGATTACAGCCAGAGAAGCTGCTCAGCCGCAGCAGCACGAGGGGACAGGGAGCTGCTCCAGGACACGCACTTCAGCACCACGTGGGAAAGCACTGCTGGGAATACACTTTGGAAATCCAATTGCTGCAGGTACAGTTCCTTTGGGCCTCCAATCGGTCGCCTCTGGTTTGTCACAGGGAGCAGAAGGCACCACAAACCCCCCGTGCCAGGAGCCCAGACACATCCAGGCTGGGTGTGCAGGGACCCACGGCAGCACTTCAGCTCTGGGGAAGGGGAGCAAAGCCTCACCACAGCCTCAGCATGGCTGAGCAATAAATAAACCCCAACCCACCTCTGTGCACTGCACTACACTACAAATCAACTCAGAGAACCTCTACTAAAACCAGCAGCAACTGAAACAGAATTATTCCCATTTTCATCCTTTGCTCATGCCTCTCCATACCATTTCCAGAGGGCACCCTTGGGGAATTTCAAGAGCTTGAACTCCTGAGTTCCCCAGCAAGGAACCCCCAGAGAAAACAGAATCAAATTAAAGCAAATTTAAAACCAAAATGATCCAATGCCCACGACATTTTAAGTCACAGAAACTAAAAGCAGAAGCATATCTTGTTTTTTAAATGACAGCTTATCAGGATCTTTGTTCTCTGTTGACTCAAGAGCATAAGTGCACCTAAACAATTTTTCTAAGGCTTCTCCAGTTAATTAGGAGCATTTTTCTTCAAAAAAAGAGGGTTGTTCATTTTCCTTTTCACATCCTAAATTGGT